TAGTGCCCTGGCCCTTCACAGATCTGTGGTCGGAAATGGAAATTTATCCCGTAGTGTGGTCGAGCCTGCACTTCGACCTTGCAAAGAGAAATAGGCAAGCCTAGCGCTAGCCGGGTAATCTGACCGCACTGTATAAGCGCTATCATTATCCTTACACCAACTTATCTTCAGAGCTTACTCTTTAGTGGTACTAACTCAACTTGGGCTGGTCCCAACTCTCCCTTTATCCAATCATGGGAAACTTTGCGGACGAAAAATATGCAGGCAGACCGGCAGACCCTCAGTCGAACAAGCAAATCGATACACCAAGTTACCTGTTCATAGGTAAGAAGTTTAACGCGACCCAGATCAAAGTGGAATGGGATGCTGGCTTAATCTAGGCCACACCAAGCCGCTTTGACCACAGCTGCAGACTTTGAAGTATGATGAATTTGCTGATTTCAAAAAATGTTTAACCGGACACAGCATGACATTGTGTTTGCTCCACAGCGCCAAGTGATCAATCATTCGTGGTGAATAAATCCCATCGTTACCAATCGGGTGCAAAGAAGCAAACACTACAAGCAATTGAAGGCGCGGAAACCTAATGTAAAAGAACATCTAGCTAGTATGAAGCGTGACAGGGCTCGGTCGACGTAAGGTTAGGAACAATTTTGAACTGAAGTGCACGGTATTAGCGCAGGATACGGAAATTTCAGCAAAAAAAAGCATCAGAGGCCTTCTGGATTCTGCGAAAGAATCTCAAGATGAACAACAGAAATGAGTGACCGTCCATAACCAGTGACCTCTTGCCATACTTACCGCTCTGTGAGCTACGATTCGTGGTCAGTGACATCGTAATGCGATCTCCCTTATCAATATAAGAGAGACAATAAATCTCATTCGCTACTGTCAGTCGCCTGTGACGACAGCGGATTCTATCCGCTCTGACGGTGGAACCTGGTAAGTATCCCATGAAGTGGGTAGGTTTCCGATGAAATTCGGTTGTTCTTTGCTAGAGTGTCAAACGCTATCGGATATTATAAAATATCTCGAATTGTATTCAGGCCTCTGAGGACGACGATTACGTCGAAGTGTTAGGCCGTTAACTCAATAAAAATTCCACCTATAAACCTTGAACGGCAGAAGAATTCTAACAACTACAGACAATCACTAATCCTGCCTGTCAAAGCCTCCGACAGTACGCTGGACGACTAATACAAAGTTGCCTAATATACGAAAACCTAAGCAATACAATACATAGCTAAAAGTAACAACCTTTTCTCAACGATGCAGAAAGAGTAGCTAGTGGACGAGGCAACCACCTGTGGACGATGCAGGAAGTCCGACTGAACCATCATTGTTTTCACATCCCCACCACACCTTATCTTATCCCACAGTCAGCATGCTTCTATAGGGTGTGATTGATTTTGAGTAGTTACTCTGGGATAGTTGTCGCTAACATCATGAACAGACTTCACCTTAGAGTTCCCTGCAGGCACCAGCGAAGAGAACAAGCAACAAACAAGATTAATGCTCTCAACTTAGGGTATCCGATAATCTCTTTTCAATCGAAAATATCTAGGAGCAGGAAAGAAAACAAAGAAGGTCTGGCTTAGCCGGCTATCATGTTTTCAACTCTAAAATCCTTCCTGCTTCAAGATACGCCTCAGAGACCTGGACTCTGCGAAGGCAGGATGAGGTTGTAGTTAATGTTATTCAAAGCGTTGCTAAATAGACGATGCTCGGAATTGCCCGATACACACAGAAGCAGAATTAGATCCGAATCCAAGAGATCCGTCGATAAAAGGAAATGGAGGGAGCCATCGAGGAATCGAGGATCAGCTGAGCCAGATTCGTCATGCGATATAGTTGTAGCGAGGGTGGTTGTGACTGGATCCCTTGAGGCGTAAAACGATCATCAGCTTGGATGACCAAACTTTTTAACGCAACTTCTGAATTGATGAAGTGCTATGCCCCGTGTCTCTCGAGCGAGGACGATCCATTGAACCACTCTGGCTCACATCAGAGAAGAATGATGTTGTTATTGCTGCCCTGGCATCGAGGTCGATGAAGATGACGCAATGAACCGTACAAAGTAATGACCGCTACGAAAGTCCGAAGACGCCGAGTGAGTCCAAGCGACGTAGACAGTGAATATGCCGCCACATACTTTAGTTGTACTGGTGTGAAGTCAAGTCGTATATTGCGCTGTGTTATAGAGACTCTAGCTCAAGTATTGCGATGACTAGGTGTATGAGTATGGGCTACAAGGGCCAAAGAAAATATCCCACGTGGCATAGAGGCGAGAGGGAGCGCCGCGATGAGCTCTATGAGGTCCTCACGCCCACGCACCTCCCTAGCGTGGGGAACCCCGATGCCTGAGAGCGTATGCTAGGATCAGGGCGCCAACCCCGGCGCGACACCCATAGTTGCGGAACGAAATGGCAGACGTTCTATCTACTGCATGGGAGGGAACTTTGTTCAACCCTTGACACAAGCTAGTGGAGGAGTTCCTAAACAACACCTTTGTAGACGCGCTCTTCTAATTTTCTGCACAATTTTTCAAAAGCAAGAAGCTATCTGCCGCCTAACGAGAGCGGGACCAACTCTTACACTGCGCGTCGTCTACCAAAGCGAGAATGACTGATCCAGCTATTCTCCTGACCGCAGTGCAACTTTTACTCTTGCAGTCTTTGATGTACCATGAAGATGTGTCAAACGATTGAACTATTAACTGAAGTTGTGGCATTCCTTTTGCAAATCCCTTGGGGTGAACCAGTTCTATGGATTCCTCATGTATACGCTTGAACAAGGCGAGTATAAAGCCCTTCTCGCCCATTCGAAAACTCATGAGCACAAGTTTCTCAAGCATGAATTTAATTTTTTTTCTTTATTTACTTGGTTGAACATACATAACGTACAATGCAGTACAAGTAAGCCTAACCTTCTGGAGGAAATGACAAGTTCTGGAAAAGTACATTCCTTTTAATGGCTCAAAAAGCTGAAGAATGTAAAGCAAGGGAAATCTAGCATTTTAAATACATTTCCCGAGAATCTGATATGATAAAATCTATCTGTGAAATTCAATAAGCGATTCAACTTTGACGTATTGAGGACGTATGGTTAGTTGATAGGTTTTTAAGCCTAGGGCTTGACTACATCAAAGTAAATACAAGTTGGTTCCTGGCAAAAAAATTAAAATACTATTACGATTCCCTAGTTACGAATTTATAAATGCTCTCAAAGGCACAGTTTTCTCTATTTCATGTACCTTTATTGGATCACGGTGGGAAAGAGCTGATGTGGAGTTCATTAGTGGCCAGAAAGTGAAAAATTTCGCAAAAATCCCACAGGACCAGGTTTTTGTAGGATCAAGCCACCACCTAACCTACCGAAATTAGTTAGTCGGTATCGCACTCAGCTGGGAGGACAAAATCACTGACTTGTACCTCGGCTAGCTGCAGCAAGTCATTGTGTAAGGTAGATTTACATGCAACACGCCACTACGATTGCAAACGGACATCATACAAAGTGCCTTGACTGATTAACGCGAGGGTTCATTGTTTTTCAAGCATTTCTAGGTTTCGGCGAACGGGTGTTCAGATGAAACTTTAGTCGCTGCAGAGCAAGGTATGTTAGATACCACCGTTATTGACTGACTGCATTTGAAGCAAATGCTTTCCATTACTGATGGTATCAGCTGCGACAACGTCAATAAATAGGCACTGGACGTAATAGAGTATAAGACGGCATTTAGCGTCGGAACCATTTTTCGTAATCACAAAAATACCATTTTTCGTAATCACAAAAATAACAGATGAAGTTTCTGGCGT